AGCGAACACGCGCGTTGGATGCGGACTGCGACGGATGGGCCTGGTCTCCCCCATCTCCTCCTCTCCCCCACGGCTCTAGATGGGGCCGTAAAATCTCTGGTAGGCCTCATGGAAGCCGATGTGGTCGGCCAGCTCGTCACAGGCGGGGTTGAGCTCGCAGACCTCGCGCTTGCCCTCGAGGGGGTCTCTCACGACGCCGTAGTAGCCACTGGGGGTGGAAGGGCACAGCGTGAGTGGGGCTGGCGGAGGCTGAGGCTGCCTGAATGCGGCCACCTCTGGGGTGGAACCAGGCAGCCGCAGCACTACGGGACCCGCCAGGGATTGCCTGGAGCCCGTGAGCAGCAGGAAGGCAGGGCCTGGGCTCAGGACACGGACAGGATCGGGGCCTTACCTGTCGAAAACGTAGTTCCGCTTCTGTCTCCGCATCAGCACGGCACTGTCGCGTCTGGACACAAAGGCTGCAGGGGCAGGAGGTGGAGGGTGTCAGAGGAGGGTTGCTCACAGCCCCCCTGGCCTGGCTTTACCCTCTGCTCCGATACCCCTCCATCAGTCCCCAGTGCCCCGTGAGACACGGTGCAGCTCCCACCCCTGCCAGCCGGCGGGACACGGGACCCAGGAGTCCGGGGCAAAGCCGAGGGGCAGATACTCACCTTCGGAGCTGGGGGACTCGTTGGCACTGGTCGAATGGGAGACTGGAAGCCAGGGAGAGAAGAGACCGTGAGGAGCCAATCTTTGCCCCATCCCACCTGTGTCTGACCCCTCCCGTGTCTCTGGGCTTATTGCAACCCTGCCACAGAAGCTCGTTTTACCCCGGGAAAACCACCTCCCTGCAGCCAGGCACTTGCATTTGGGAGAAAGAAACCCCCACCCCAGTTCCTGTTGTTTTCAAGCCATTCCTTCTTCCTGGGACAGGCTTGTCCCGCATCCCTCTGCCTTCCCTGCAAGCTGGCGGGGGGTGCTGGAGGATCTCGAGCCTGCTGGCACTTTGTGTGGGGAGTTTTAGGGGGAGTTTCGACTGCCTGTGGCTAGGACGGGTCAAGGGGCTGGACCAGATCCGGCCTCCTGAGCCCCCCTCCCCCAAAACCCAGTCTGGCTGCTCTGAAAGGGTCAGATCACGGGGAGCCGTTGACCCAGGCATTGGCCACAAGCCCTCGTGGCTGCTCTTCCCCTCCCTAAATTTGGGTTAGGAAAACGCTTCCAGCTCCTGGGAGTGGAAACCCCTCAAGGAGAGAGGATCCCCTGCTCCATGGCAGGGAGGAGAGGGGCAATTCCTGGAGCAGGGTCTCAAGCCATGAAGGTGGGAGCGTAACCCTTGTTGCAGCAGTGGGGAAACCGAGGCACACGACTGCGAGGAGCATCATCTCCCGTCGGCTGGAGGACGGGGCCCGGGTTCAAGCTCAGGGACCGGCTGATGTCTGAGCCAGACGGCAGCAGAGATCCCAGGTGTCCTGACACCGCTGTCCCCGGCTGTAACCACTGGACATGCTCCTTCGGTGTCCTGGCTCCCGTCCCCCTGCACCCACGCTCCCTTTCCCCAGCTGGGTACAAAACCAGGCATCCCAAATCCCAGATCAACAGCCATGTGTGGACCCAGGTGGCTGGAGCCCCACTCCCTGGCTATAACCACTAGTAGACGCTCCCTCGCCAGTG